TCCAGTTACCCTGCATTTTGATGATGTGGGGATAGTTGGTATTGGAGATTGAAACCAGGGACTGGCACATGCTAAGTAGGTGCTAAAGCCCTGCATTTAAAAAGCTGCTATAGGTTTTCATTAACCATTTGATATATTCTCTCTCTCTCTCTCTCTCTCTCTCTCTCTGTGTGTGTGTGTGTGTGTGTCCACACAAGCTAACAGTTTATTTTCTCTCTTCCCCACTTTTAACGTATACACAAGCTGTTGGAAGTTAGCTTTCCACTTAGTATATAGGTAAATAACTATTCAGTGGGAATTCCAATGAATTTGAGGAGTAATTCATGCAATCAGTGATAGACTCAGTTACTTATGTCTTCTCATTGAGGGATAAAACAAAAATTTTCTCCCTTGTAAGATACATAATGAGATCTTCTTATGTGGAAATGTAGTTTTATTGCTATACAGGGATTCAACTGTATAGAAGGGTACATACGGAAGTCAAGCGGCCAAGGGGTGAGCTGTGCTGGGTAGCAATTTCTTGGCTCTCAGCTCTGAATGTGCCCAGCAGTATATGTTGTATAAGAAGTGAGCTGGGGCCTTTACATCCTTTTTTTGTTGTCTACTTAGGGTTTGTCTCCAAGAACTCAGGGTATTGCTCAGAACTATTCTAAAAGCAACAGAGGTTTCAGACAGATGTCAAACAGGCAGAGACCACACTGGAGATGTCAGACATCCTTAGGTGTACAAAGCAAAACTCAAAGTCAGTTGGGCCCATGCAGGCCACAGCTACGAGCAGGGAACAACCCTGGAGGACTGAGGGAAGGCCTCCGTGAGAAGTGAGGTTTGGGGAAGCCTAAGGGAAGTTGGAGGCAGGAGTCATTCCCGGTGCAGAAATGCTCACTGCAGAGGCCCCAAAGTGGGAATCCATGTGGCATTCTTGTGCAACAGAAGGATCAGATGTCACAGGAAAACAAGACGGGAAAGGCCTGAGCAGAGGCAGGGTGGAGGGGGCCGTACAAGGCTGCTCTATGTCACTGGAAGCCAGCCAGAACCCCTGGAGGGACTTCACCACCGAGGCATAAAAAGCCCTTCTGAAAACAGAGCTGTCTAGAGAGGATGGGAAGGGAGTTTGCTCCCCACTAACCTTTCTTTTATTTTGAAGGTAATAAAATACAGCAAAACAAGACAGAACAAAGCCAACTGAAACAATGCAGTGAAATTGGTACCGAACTTCAGGGCAGGATACCGGGATAACAGTAATAGGTAGTATGGTATATCGCGTTATCTTCACAATAGTTGTCCATTCAATCAGGTGTAGCAAAATCAAACCAAAAACAGAACACTATAAAACCTATCAGAACAGAATAGTAAATAAAGCAAAACAATCAGAACAAAGCAAAACAGTGAAAGAAATATTGGACTTCAAAGACAAGATAGAAGGACACCCCCCATATTTGCTGTATTGCATAGGGTCATCCTCCCAAGAGATGCTCAGACCTCTGGCCCAGGTCAGCGTAATCAACCCAAGAATACACCCATTTAGTTGCTTTATGTGCCTTAGTTGCTATCAACTCTGGCTGCCCTCAACATCTTTCAGCTGCTAAGCTGGGGAGGGAGGAGAGGGATGTGACATTTGATTCTCAGCCCACGCGCCTGTAGGCTCATGGGAGACCCGCTGCTCACTGGTGCCACCACCTCCCAGGGCGAAGGACTTGTTGCTTTCTTGTTCACCCCTCCAAGTCCCAACACGGCTGGATCTTGGGAGATGCCGACTTGCTGTCCTCCTGACATGCCCCCCTTACTCTTGTGCAGCTCTGTGCTAGCGCTGTTGAACATACAGCTCTTCCCAACTTCAGTCTCCGGTCTGTGTCCCTCCTCCAGAGTCTCTAGTGGGGTTACAGCAACACTGTATCGCCGCGCTGACCCCTCATGCCTGCTCACCCGCCCCCCCCACCCCAACCAAGCTCATCCCCCCTCCTGTGTCCACCCCGGGCCTCTTCAGCCATCTTCTGGGTGCTATCTCTCCACTCATGTAGAGATGGCAATCTCCTGCCCAGTCTCCACTGAGAGATGGCCACTCGGCGAGGGCAGGACCATCTGGCCCCACTGGGGATGAAAAGGTTTCATGAGGACACCTGACTGGTGCCTTGTGCCAGGAGGATGCAGAGATGTTTCAGATAGCACAAATAAACCTGCATTTAGCATCACAGGCACAGGAGGCTCCGGGCTGATACCCATCCTCTCTGCACTTCCTGTAGAGGGGTAAAAGGGTGGGGGAAATGTACACAACTCCTCTTCAAGAAGAAGCACATGCCTGGCACACTCAGGTCAATGTGACAACAATGAGGGGCATTGGGCTGGATCACTGGGGCAGTGGGAGTCAGGTTCTTTCTGGCTAAGAGGGCCACAAGGGCTAGACAATCATTACAGATGGATGAATTATTCACAGCCTGGTCGACCTCCTCGGGCTCCGACAGCCGGGAGCTCACTGATCAGACCAGCAGATCTTATTACCCGGGTGTAATGGCTTCTTTTCTTCGGTCTCGGAAGACAGCGATTCAACATCATCAATATTAATGTGGACTGGCTGATGCGGCAGCTCACACACCCAGAGCCTCCTGGCCTCCTGCAGTCACAGTGACATCAGCCCAGGACCTGAGGTCTGGGTGACTGGATACACCTGATCTTAGAGCCAGAATTGCAGGGCCCCAAGTGACCACTCCCAGGGGCAGGCAATCCCAGGAGCACCTGAAATAGGACATTTTGTTTCCCTAAAGTGGGGTTTAATATTGACCTTACAGCTCTTCCCAGCCTCAGTGGTGTCCCTACCCGGTGAGAAGTGGGGTTCTGTCCAGCACCTGTGCCCCCTCTGAGTCCTGTAGGCCAGAGGTACAAGATCAAGGTGTGGGCACAACCTGGAGGCTGGGGAGAGGGGATACCTCCTGGCCCATGCCAGCCTGTGATAGCTGCTGCCTTTACTTGGTCTGGGACCCAGCACTCCAATTTATTTATTCGTGTATTTAGTACCAGGAATAGAAGACATGACCTTGCACTTGCCAGGTAAGTGCAGTGCCACTGAGCTGCATCCGCAGCCCCAGCCCTCAGCTGCCCACCTCTGTCTTTTCATGGGCTTCCGGCCTGTGATACAGTGTCCTCCCCCATCCCCAGATTTTATGATGCGTGTGACTTTTGTTAGATTTTTAAATTTTTATATTTTAATTAACACTGTTGGATAATGTTAATGGACTGCAGTGTGACCTTTTAGCACATGTATACAATGCGTGATGATCAGATCCGGATAATTGGCGTGTCTTTTGCCTTAGACATTTATTATTTCTTTGTGCTGGAAACAGTCCAAATCCCCTCTACCAGCTACTTTGAAATATTCATTTGTCAACTTCAGCTATCCTAACATGCTGCTGAAGAGAGGAAGCGATCCTTGCTATCCAACATCCCCCCTGCACCCCGAATGGTCCTCTCTCCACCCTTTCCTCCCCCTCACTTTCCTTAGGCTCTGGAATCCACTGTCCTAGTCACTGCTGCTTGGGGTTGTGCACCTCAGTTTCCACATGTAAGTGAAGACATGAAATATTTGTATTTCTGTGCCAGATTTACATCACCTAACATAATGTCCTCAAGTTCCACCCACGCTGTAGTCAGGGGTTGTACAGAGAACACTTAGAATCAGGACGTGGAGTTTATAACATTATTTATGATGGTCACCCAGAGTTAACACAAAAAAGTGCAGGAAATCTGTCCACAACGCTAAACACAGAATATTCAGCCAAGGGCCTGGATCTCACAGCAATGTCTCACATGAGTCCAGATGAAGACCCAGAGCCCATGACAATGCCTCCCATGAGTCCAGCTGGAGGTCTAGAGCCCACGAGAAGGATTCACGTCAATGTGTTTCACAGATCCGTGCTGGAAAGGCCCAAAGGTCAGCGGTGGAGGCTAGAAAGTCCATGCCAGCAGCGTGAAGGAGCTGTGCTGGTGGGATGAGGGTTCTACTCTGGAGCCAAGAAGTCACACTCACAACAAAGACCAGGGCTGTCCTGCAAAGCACCACAGCCATCCTTGCAACACGGAGGCCCTGAGCTCCTCCGACAATTAGCACAGTCAAGTACATGCCAGGAAGCCAGAGTGATGAGGTCATCCTGGAGACCAAGCAGCACACATTTTCCTCTCCAGAGCCAGGAAGCAATGCTCAATGTGAGGACCAGAGCTTCTCCAGGAGAACCAGCGGCTCAGACAGCAACCCTTAGCCTAACTTCTCCTTCTCCACGTCTCTATTTATGCTGGCAACTTTCCTCAGGTGGAACATCTATACTCTGCACCATAGTGAGTTAACCCAGCTGGTGTTAAGTTGACCACCAGTTTTTAATCTATAACAATCCACCCCTGGTCAACTTAATAACCACACACATTTCTTTAAACTAGTCTTTAGTGGCAGATTTGTAAAAGTTAATATATCTTGTTCTATTTAGATTACAACAATTACATATATATATAATTCTTTTTTACACTTATTCCTGCACCAAAAGCAAATATTTAAAGGATGACCAAGGCTCAACATTAAAACACAGTACTTTGATTAATTCACCAGGTTACAAACATATAAAACATTAAAACCGAACTAAAACAACAATTACAATCACAGTCCTTGCTTCCCATTATCTTTTAACATGGCACAGCAAGACTGAAATATAAAGACCTCCTGCAATTCCAATGTACTCTTGATTTTCCCATTGTCCTTTTCTTCTAAACAACTATGTATCCTTTGTATCATCTTTGCAGCGCACAGTTCCAATGGAGCCTTCTTTCTAGCCAAATGTTTTTAAATTATTCTACTGGCGCTTTGCTCTAAATTTCTAACATAGATCTGGTCAAAAGCTCACAGAAGTAACTGTGCTACCATCCCAACAGGAGACTGCCCTGAAATTTTTCTGCCACCCAGGTAATATCTCTAAATACAAGCAAAATGAAGACCAGCTTTCAGCCAAAGCACCATATCCTACCTGGACTCCAGCAGGCACAGCAGTCCTCAACAGAAGCCTCCCAGACTTCCGAGCTCGTAACTGGCAGCATTTCCATCAGTACTCTGATTTTCCAGGTTCCGATAGAGTCTCCAAAATAGTACACAGCATACTGGCATAGTACACCATAGGGGCTGCCTTTTGGCCAGTCTCTCAAAAACTGTCCGAATTCCGTGACTTAAGTCACGTGGCCTGGCAACGTAACAGCAATGACACCCCTTCTCTTGGTACCATTTCTATTGTAGTCAGGGGTTGTGCACAGAAAAATTAGAATCAGGACATGAAGTTTATAACATTACTTATAATGGTCACCCGGAGTTAACACAAGAAAATGCAGGAAATCTGTCCACAACACTATGTCCCACCTGAGTCCAGACGAACCCAGAGCTCATGACAGTGCCTCCCATGAGTCATCTGGAGATTCAGAGCCCACAAGAAGGACTCACGTCAGTTTCTTTTACAGATCCGTGCTGGGAAGGGCCAAAGGTCAGCTGTGGAGGCTAGAAAGTCCATGCCAGCAGGGTGAAGGAGCTGTGCTGGTGGGATGAGGGTTCTACTCTGGAGCCAAGAAGTCACACTCACAACAAAGACCAGGGCTGTCCTGAAAAGCACCACAGCCATCCTTGCAACACGGAGGCCCTGAGCTCCTCCGACAATTAGCACAGTCAAGTACATGCCAGGAAGCCAGAGTGATGAGGTCATCCTGGAGACCAAGCAGCACACATCTTCCTCTCCAGAGCCAGGAAGCAATGCTCAATGTGAGGACCAGAGCTTCTCCAGGAGAACCAGCGGCTCAGACAGCAACATGTAGAGAGCCCACAATGCCTCAACACCTCAATGCACCTCCTTTCTCCTTCTCCACATCTCTATTTATGCTGGCAACCTTCCTCAGGTGGACCATCTATGCTCAGCACCATAGTGAGTTAATCCAGCTGGTGTTAAGTTGACCACCAGATTTAATCTGTAACAACCCAAGTTACTGCATTTGGAGGTTTCCTTGTTTTATGACTGAAGAATATTGCCCCATGTGTCCACATTTCATTTCCTTTATCCATTCCTCTGTTGACAGATGCCTAGAATGATGGCCTCTCTTGATTCCGGTGAGTCTTGCTGCAGTAAACATGTGAGGGAAATGTGTTTCATGCACTGACTTTAGTTCCTGTGGATCTGTGTCTGGCAGTGGACTGCTAGGTCACGAGACAGGTATTTGTAGTTTAGGGAAACTGACACCCTGTTTTACATAATCACTGAAATAATTTACATTTCCCCTATGGGGAGCCCCCATATTTATTATCTTTTGTGGTTTCTTTTTCAGTAGTCATTCGATTCTATGGAGTGAGGCGGTCTCTCATTGTGGGTTTGATCTGCATTTCCTTAGTGACTGATGATGTTGGACACTGAATCATATGCTTACCCATTTGTGTATCCTCTTTGAGAAATGGTTGTTTGGGCCATATGTTTATTTTAAAATCAAATTATTTGGGCTTTTTTTCTGGTGAGTTGGTTCATTTTCTTATATATATTGGAAATTAATCCCTTTTCAAATGAATAGCTTGCAAATATTTTCCTCCATTCTGTAGGTTGTATCTGCTCTCTGTTGATTTTTTTTTTCTGCAAAATTTCAAAAATGAAACTCTGCTTTTGTTACCTATCTTTCAGGGGTCATATACAAAACATCTTCACCCAGACCCACATCCTGAAGCATTTCCACTGTGTTTTCTTTTAGTACCTCACAGTGTTGGATCTTACATTTAAGTCTTTGATCTATTTCGCATTGATTTTTGTACATGGTAAGAGATATGGTTCTGTTTTCTTCCTTCTGATGTGGATGTGAGAAAATCCAGCAACGTTCCCTGAAAAGATTCTTCTTTATTCTGTGTGTGCTCTTGTTGGTTTTACTGAAAACCAGAGCTGGGATGGGGGCACACACCCGTAATTCCAGCAAGCCAGAGGCTGAGGTAGGAGGATTCCCATGAGTTTGAGGCCAGCTTGGGCTACATAAAGAGACCCTATCTCAAAGAAAGAAAATGCGGCTGCAAATACGTGGATTTGTTTCTGTGGTCTGCATTTTGTTCCGTGGGACAGTGTGTCTGTTTTTATGCCTCTGCAGGCTGTTTAGGTTGCTATCACACCGTAATATGTTTTGAATACAGAGAGAGTAATGCTTTAACCTTGGTTTCTTCCTCTCAAGATTGCTGTTTTTAGATGACCATATTAATATTTTTGATTGGATCACTGAACACAGCTATTTGCAGTCTCACTGTTTGAATGTTCACTTTGTATGCTTTGATCCTGTGACCTGAACCACTGTTTCTAAGATGATAGTGTGTAATCTATTAACTGGTGATACCTTACTGGTTTTTTGTAGTTCTGTATTGCTTATACCCTTACACTGTTTTGTTTTGTTCTGTTTTTTCTCTTTTTCCTTTTAAATAAAAAAAAGATTGCTGTTTTTATGGAGTCCAATACAAATTGCAGAATTTTTTTTTTCTTCTGTGAAGAATCATTGGTATTTTGATAGAAATTACATTAAATCTGTGGCTCACTTTGGGTTATATTGGTATTTTAACAATATTAATTGATTCTTCAAATTCATGAGCATGAGACTCTTCCCATATTTTCATGTCCTCTTCAGTTTCTTTCATAAATGTTTTATAATGTTTATTGTAGAAATCATTTATTATCTTGATTAAATTTATTCCTAGGTTCTGCTTTTTTTTAAGTTGTTGTGAATGGGATTGCTTCCTCATTTTTTCTTTGCAATTTTGTTATAGCAACATTAAAATATACTGATTTTTATAAATTGATTTTGTATCCTGTAACCTTGTTGAATTAACTTACCATGTCTAGTTTGTGTGTGTGTGTGTGTGTGTGTGAATTCTAGGTTTTTCTATATATAAAATCATGTTGTCTATGAACTGGAATTATTAAATCGCCTCCCTTGCTACTGAGACACTCTTTATTTTTTTCTCTTGCCTTATTGCTCTGGCTAAATTGTCCAACAATGTGCTGAATAAATGTTGTGAGGTTAAATGCACTTTTTCCTCATCTTAGAAGAAACACTTTAGCTTTCCCCATTCAGTGTGACATAAACTGTTGGTTTGCATACGTTGCCTTTTGTGTTGAAGCACAGCCTTCCTATAACTTTTTTTAGAGCTTTCATCATAAAGTGAGAATGTTGCCGAATGCTTTTTATGTATCTGCTGAGATGATCATATGGTTTCTATCCATCATTGTGTTGACGTGCAGTATTATTGATTTGCATATGTTTAAACATCTTGCATTTCTGGGATAAATCCCACTTGATCATAGTGCATGATCTTTTTATGTGCTATTAGATTAAGTTTACAAGTATTTTTTGAGACTTTTGCACTCATATCCATCAGAGATGTTGGTCTGTAGTGTGTGTGTGTGTGTGTGTGTGTGTGTGTGTGTGTGTGTTTGTATGTGTGTGCTCCTGTCTGGTTTTAAGCTCATCATAATTCTGGCCCCGCAAAATGAGTTTAGAAAGGTATCTTCACTTGCAGTGCTTTCAAATACTCTGAGATGTATTGATGTTAATTCTTCTCTCCAGAGCTTGTAAATATAGCAGTGAAGCCACCTGAGCTTTTCTTTGTTGGGAGACTTTCCATTCCTCACTGGATCTCAGCACCTGTTTTTAGCTGGTCAAGTTTTCTGTGGCCTCAGAGTCCACTCTTGGTGGTGTATGTGTCCCGAAAGCCACCTGCTCCTTGTGTTTCCTGATCCGCTGGCGTACAGTTCTCCACGAGGGTTCCTCGCAGTCCTTTGTGGTTCAGTGGTGTTAGTGTCCTGTCTCCATTTTCATTTATGACTCTCTTCAGGTCAGCTCTTTTTTTTCTTGGTGAGTCCTGCTAAAGGTTTGTTAGTTTTGTTTGCTGGATTTTTATTTCAGTCTCTTTCATTCATTTCTGCGTAGATCTTTGTCGTTTCTTTCCTGTTACTAATTTGGGGTTAGTTTGTTCTTGCTTTTCTAGTTCCCTGAGTTGTACTATTAAGTTCTTTATTTGAAATCTTTTATTTCCTTTTTTGATGTATGCATTTATTGCTGTAAACTTACATCCTGGCACTGTTTTTGCTGTATAACATAGATTTAACTCCTCTGTGTTTGCGTTTTCACTTTTTAAAGGAAATGTTTAACAACCTTTAACTTTTTCACTGACTCATTAGCGATTCAAGGACATGTTGGTTATCTTCGATATATCCACGCAGCTTCTAAAATCCCTCTGGTTGTTGATTTCTGATGTATTCTTGTGATTAGAGAAGATCCGTGATCGAATTTCCATTGTTTTGAATTTCCTGATTTTTTTTGTGGCCTAACTTATGAAGTGTGATTTAAAAAATATAGCGTGTGTTAAAATGAAACAACTAGTTACAGTGAAAGACTCGTTGGCAGTAATCTTCATCCAGATATTTCTCTTAACTTGGCACATGCTCATCCCATCATTCTTTCCACTTTCTGAAGCAGTTCTGAAAGTTGATTTTCCTGAGTGTCGTTAGTTGCTGAGTAGTAGCTACCTTAATGTCCTGAATTGATAAAAAATATTTACCTTTCTTTGTGATTACATTGTTTGATCATTTTTTCATGCCTATATCTTGTAATCTGAGCAACTACCGAGAAGATAACAATATGCAATATGTTAACCATTATTAAGCTCCTATTATTTTGTTTTGAAATTTTGTATCATTTTTACTTTTATTTTAAATTTTTCTAAAAAAATGTCTACCTTTCATGCCCGTTTTGACTTAGGGCAAGAGCCAGAAGTGTCATGGCACACTTGGTAAAGAAGGTAGATAAGGACACTGTAATTTTTCTTTTAGTCCTTTTTTATTAGCACATCTCTGAACTGGTAGCATACATAACACATCATAATTTTTTATGTCTATCTCTCCTCCCTCCTCTCTTCCCTGTACCTTTTGATCCCCTTACAATTTGGAAAATATACATCTCTCTGTTTGCTATTTCCTCTCTTTTATTTTGCTTTTTATTTATACATTAGTTTCAATATAAGAGAAATGATATTATTTAACCTCTGTATCTGATTTATTTCACTTAACACTAATGATTAAAGGTGGATACATTTTCTTACAAATAAATGTATCTTTATAGCAGAATGGTACTCTACTGTGTATAAATATCATATTTGCTTTAGGCATTCATCTATTGATGGTCATGTAGGCTGCTTCAAAGATTTAGTTATTATAAATTGTGTGCGATAAACATGCGTGTGCATATATCACTGTGACATGATGCCTTTAACTTTTGAGAAGACATCCTAGAGGGAAATAGTTGGGTCAAATGGAATTCCTACTTTTAGTTTTGAGAGGATTATCCATACTGATTTTCATACTGACTGTCCTAGTTTATATTCTCACCAACAAGGTGGAACAGTTCCTTTTTTCCTAAAGCCTCACCACTATTTGTTATTATTTGATTTCAGTGTTGTTTGAATTTGCATTTCCCTAATAACCAGGAACATTTCTTCACGTATTTATTGGCCATTTGTACTTCTCTTGAGAAATGTCTGTTCCTTTCAGTTGCTTGTTTTTTTTTATTGTGCCTTTTATTCTGAGGATATTTTACTTGAGATCTTTTGTATATTTCAGATATTTGTCCTCTATTTGAGGAATAGCTCACAAAATATTTTCTTAATCTGTAGGTTTGATTTTCACTCTAATAGTTTAATTTGTTTAATGTGATATAATCCCATTTGTTGATTCTTGCTACTGTTTCTTGTGCAACTGAAGTTCTATTCAAAACTTTCCTATGCCTGTGATGGAGAGTTTTATCTAACTTATCTCCAGCAGGTTAAGTGTTTCTGCTTTAATT